TGTTGGGTACCTTCCTCTCCATCTCTCGTGTCCTCCCAACCCTGAAACCGTTAAGAGCGGGTTCAGTGTCTCCCTGAGTGTTCCAGGGAACTTTGCGCCCCTTAGTGTACCTTGTCTCCCGTCCTGATCCCTACGCAGCAGCTGTGTGGCCCCGTTTCTCTCTCGGGAGTGGAAGGTTAGCTCATTCTTTAGCTTGTGTCCACCAGTGCCTGTTTTGACGGGGGTGGTCTTGCCCCTGTTATCTACCTGTCGGAGAGGGTTTCTAGAGGGGGAGGGTAACTGGGATAACAAATTAACTCGTATGTCTTCGTTGGTTTGGTATGTGTTGTCTATTTGGATCTATTTTGTCCTGTTCGTTGGCCCCTCGTTAGTTGCTAGGGTCTCGGCCTGTTGTGTATGTGGCCCAGAGTGCTTTCGCTGTGGCATTTCCCTTACCCATTTTTGTTTGGCTCCACATTATGCCTTCAAATTCTAGTGTTGTCGTAACCATTGTTACTACTACCGGTGGGGATGGGATCTTTGGGGTTTTCCATTGTTTCGCTAGTGAGGTGGAGGCTGCCGTTAATATTAGGAATATTAGTTTGGTGATGCATTGTGGCGTGCCTTTCGGTAGGAGTTGGAGTAGAAATGTTTCTGCATTGTGGTCTAGTATGCACCCTGTGGCCCCTTGAATTAGTTCCGCTATTTGCTTCCAGTATGGCTGGACTAGTGCACATGTCCACCAGATGTGGAGCATAGTCCCTTCCTGTGTCCGACATCTCCAGCATCTGTCACTTATGTCTGGGTATATTTTCTTGAGCCGTGAAGGCACCATGTACCATCTGTATATTAATTTGCGCGAGGTCTCAATGTGGGAGGCACATGTTGTGAGACCCTTGTGGTTTGTGTGAATGCAGTGCCAGTTGTCTTGTGTGAGTGACCTGCCTATGTCCCTATGCCATTCGGTCTGGTATCTCCACTCCGTCTTGGTTTCACTCTCAGTGATTGACTTGTAGCACACAGATAGTGTCTTTTTAGTTGGGATTTGGTGTATGCACATCTTTTCTAAAGGAGTTAGGGTGGTGGGGGATGCGAGTGGGGGGCCTTGGTTTGTGGCTTTGCCTATTAGTGCTTTTATCTGCCAATATGAGAACGTGAGTTGTGGTGGTATGTTGTATGTGGCTTGGATATCTGGCAACTGATGTAGTCCTTGCGGGGAGCTTATCTGGTGCAAGTGTGTGATTCTGGAGGCCTTCCATGTTCTGTATGGGAATGTGTTGTTGCAGAGATTTATTGAGTGTAGTGGCGTTGCCATAGACCATGGTTCTGCGGAGCATAGTGTGGACCTGTGACTGTCCCATATGCGGTACAGAAGTTTAGTGGTGGGTAGGGCATTTGGTGGTGTGCGGCACAGTTGTTTGGGTATCCACAGGGCCGCAGGTAGATCCGCGACCCCGCTGCAGCTAGCTTCTATCGCTATCCATTGGGGGGTGTATGTAGTGGAGTGCATGGCGAGGATGTTCGCCGTTTGTGCGGCATGGTAGTACGCCTTGAGGTTCGGGAGACCTAGGCCTCCTTTGTCTTTTGGCTTCATGAGCAACGTTCTTGGGACCCTGGGGTGTCTTCCTCCCCAGCTGAATTTAATCAGGCTAGATTGAAGTCTGTGTAGGAACGACTGCGGTAAGGGTATTTGTAAAGAGCGGAACAAATAGAGGATTTTCGTCAAGATTGTCATTTTGATAGCCGCTATTCTGCCTAACCAGGAAAGAAACTTGTTTTGCCATGAATGCAGTATGTGGTCCACTTCTTTGGTTAGTTTAATGTAATTGGCTACAAAGAGGTCAGTGTGTCTTTTGGTAAGTTTAATGCCTAGGAAAGTCAAGAAGTCATTCCTCCAGTCATATTGGAAATTGAGTCGGTACCTCTCTTCGTCTGTCTTGGGGGCGTTTATGCACATGGCTTGGGTTTTGGTTAGGTTTAACTGGTAGTATGATTGCCTACTGTAATCCAGAATTTCTCTATGGAGGTTTGGGAGGGAGATTGCTGGATTAGATAGTGTGAGAAGGATATCATCCGCAAATAGGTTTAGTTTATATTCCTTGCCACCTATGGAGATCCCCTTAATGTCGTGGTTGTTTCGGATCGCTATGGCTAGTGGTTCCAGGGCCATCACATAGAGTAGTGGGGAAAGCGGGCAGCCCTGCCGGGTGCCATTAGTGATTGTTAGGGGGTGGAGCTAAACCCTGAATTCAACACTGTCGCTGAGGGGGTGCTGTATAGTGCCTTCACCACGTTAAGGAAGATAGGGGGGAAGCAATACCCGATGAGCGTTTCTTGCAGAAATTGCCAGTTAAGCCGGTCAAACGCTTTTTCAGCGTCTAGGGATAGGAGTGTGCTCTGTATTTTGGAACTATTGGGGTAGTGGAGGATGTTTAACACCTTCCTTGAGTTGTCTGGACCCTGTCTGCCGGACACAAATCCCACTTGGTCCGTTGAAATCAGGTCAGGCAGGATTGTTTTGAGCCTTTCCATGTATATTTTGGCGTATAATTTGGCATCTACATTCAGCAGGGAAATGGGTCTAAAATTTGGGCAAGTCGTGGGTGGTTTACCTGGTTTAGGTAGGGTGATAATGTGAGCTGCAAGGAATTCAGTCGGTAGGCTACCCTGTTTTGTAGCCAAGTTAAAGGCTTGTGATATGTATGGGCTCAGGATGTGTTTGAATGTGTTGTAGTAAAGGTTGGTGAGGCCGTCTGGGCCTGGTGCCTTTCCCTTCGGCATCCGTTCTATTAGTTGTAATGCTTCTTGAGTTGTGATGGGGTTTGTTAGGTGCGCTATTTGTTGTTCGTGGAGCTTGGGCAAGTCAAATCTGCGCATATATTCTGTGATCGATTTTTGAGTGGGTTGGTGTACCTGGGGGTTTTGGTTAAGGCTTTGCTTTCAGGTTGTAGAGGGAACTATAGTAAGACGCAAAACTCATTGCAGATTTGTATGGGTTGGGTCATTTTTTGTCCTTGTGGTGTAAGCAGGTAGGGTATTCTTGTTTGGGCCTGTTTATCTCTGAGTCTCTGGGCCAGTGCTTTGCTCGCCTGGTTTCCTAGGACAAATGTGTTGGCTTTCAGCTTTTTCAATGCATAACTCGCTTTTTGGAAGTTTGCTACATTAATCTGGTTTTGCAAGTCCTTTATCTGTTTTTGAATGTTCGTGGAGGGAGTGAGTATGTTATCTCTGTGTAGGTCTTGCAGTTTTTTGAGATTTTGGACATATGTGAGGTTCTGCTGTTTTTTGAGGTGAGAGGCTCGCTTGATGAGAATACCTCTGATGACCGGTTTGTGGGCCATCCATAGTGTGAGGGCGTTTATGTCCTGTGTATCATTAGATTGAAAGTACGTGTGTAGGTCCTGTTCCAGCATTTGAACAAATTGGGGGTCGTTAAGGAGATGTTCATTTAACCTCCATGGGCCCCTGTTCTTATAGTTGTAGTGGTCTGCTAAGTGGAGTGTGACTGGGTTGTGGTCCGACCAGGGGGATGTTCCTATCACACAGTCTATCACTCTATTCAGGTGTGCGCTGTGTAGCAAAAACCCGTCTATTCTTGAGTACGTGTTGTGTACCTGGGAATAATGTGTATACTCCTTCCCTTGTGGGTGGAATGTGCGCCATGCGTCGTATAGTCCGTATGTGTTTAAGAGTTTGGTTAAGGCTTTGCACTGTCTGTGCAGTGTTTTAGCTCTACTGGTTGTGTGTATTGCTGAGGAGTCTAGCGTGGGGTCTTGGAACTGATTGAAGTCCCCACAAATGATTGTGGTGCCTGTTTGTAGTTGTGTTATGAGTTTTAGTAGCTTACTAAGGTATGTTCCCTGGTTTACGTTTGGTAGGTATGTGTTGACTATGGTATAGGTGGAACTGTTGATAGTGCAGATCAGTATAATGTACCTGCCTAGCGGGTCCTTCTTCACCAGAATTTCTTCAAAGGCTAAGTGGCGGTTGAGGAGGATAGAAACTCCCTTCCGTTTTGTGCGTGTGGTGGCATGGTATTGATGGGGGTACATTGACTTCCCTAGAGTGGGAGATGCGTCCGCAGAAAAGTGGCTTTCTTGTAGGCATATCACCTCGGCTTGGTTGCCCTTGAGCTCTTTAAGGAGTGTGTGCCTTTTTTGTGGGGTATTTAACCCTCTGACATTATGGGTGTATATTTTCATACTATTTGCGTTTTACATGTGTAGCTTGGTTTGTGGCTCCGTAGGGATTTACGTAGGTTCGATTGTCCGTGTGTGTGATGGTTGGTGCCTCATGCAGAGGAGTGTTGGCAGGTCTGCGGGTGAAACGAGTATGGCTCTGGGGCTTAGGACCTTAATTCAGTTAGGGATGCCACATACAATTGGGATGCTGCTGTTTGGGCATTGTCATGTGGTATTGGTGTGTTGCAGTGGTGCGATCTGTTTGAAGACATACAACAGTTAAACAAAACTTAAACATTTTAAACCTTAAACTGTAGTTGAACACCACTATTGAGGTGTTCAGGTTTTCCTGCTGAAGGTCGTGAAATTGACCTTCTTGAGTTGGGGGTAGGTGGTCGGGTCTAACCATATATGGTCCAGAGTCGGGATCTAGGCATACGACTGGGCTCTTAGCTAGTAAGCAGAAAGTAGCTAATTAACTCTCATCTCTATGGGTTCCGCTGGAACTTGAGTGTGGGGGCTGCTGCTCAAGTTTTTTTTTCTTCTATTTTTGTTTTGTTAGTGCAAGTCGGCTATTGTGTGGTTCACCCTATTGACTCTTTGGACCCGTCATCGTCCAAGGGGGGGGGGAGGGGGGAGAGAGGGAACGCTATATCTGTCTGTGGGTTGCTTCAGGGGATGCTTTCCCTGCTGTCGGAGCCCCTTGAGCAGAGGTTTTGTG